TACAGGTGATAAGACCCAACAGTTTGTTAGTACTGTCACCACAGGATGCACAGAGCTGGCCTCAAGGGAGCACACAAGTAACCTTGATTATGAGTTTGGAGAACTTTCTTCATATGAAAGAAAAAAAACTCCAAAAGACCTTATGAAACAGTTATACAGGTGCTGGGATGGGGATGGGACTGGGATGTACATGGGAAGATGTGCTGATGTGTTCGTCTGAGTTTTAGGGGATCTAAGATATGTTAAAAAAAACAGGAGATATTTTCTCTGTTATTGACCTTTTTGTCACAGGGACTGCAAGTATTCTTGGGGAAGAAGCTTCTGGTAGGACTGTCAAAAAGTGACTCACAGAAAAAGGGAATATAAATCAGAAGATAAATACCTGAAAACAGAGTCAATACAAAGTGTACTTCTGAGAGAAAATATGTAATTCTCTTAGAAGAAGAATATCTATTTTCTAATTTTTGCATCCTGCACCTCTCTGTCTTGGTTTCCTTTCCTTTCTTTTCTGTTGCCACCACTAATTCCATAATTGTTTATATGGCTAGATCCAGCTCACAGTGCATACAAAGTCTATGCAAATCAAAGGACACTTTCTCAGGCTTTTTACTGCCAGCTTGCAGAACAGAAACATCTGAGGTATCCTGGGAGGTTTATTTGTTTGTTGCAAGTGAGTTTTATTTTACTAAGACACCATACCAGCTGTGGGTACCCACACATTTGAAGGGCAGAAACACCATTATCCTCTAATTCAGTCTATTTATGATGAGCCATACAAATTTCATGTTGTAATTCCTACATCAAGCCCTAAATCCTATTTAAGCAAAACCTTTTGGAAATAGGTTGATACGTCAATACTGACGCTATGGAACTATGCCTGAAGTGCTTCTGATTCCCTTTATAAATTATATGTTTCACATCATGCAGGCAACCATGACAACAAACCAACTGAAAAAGCAGACTATTTTCTGTCTCTACAGAGAACTATCATTACATCTTACTTTGACTTTTTCAGATTTGATGGAGGACTTACAGCAAGGCACCATGGAAAACTTTCATCAAAGCTGTCCTTCAAAGTTCTCTTTTTTCCTACCCTAAGAAAAATTAAGCTTTAAATTCATAGTAGGTTTGTTTATACAAAGGACATAGAATGAATGCACAATTCCAATGATTACTTTGGTTACTTTATACTTTTTCAGTCCTTATTAGATTTCAACTATTAAAATATATCACTATATTTCTTATGAATTTATATAGAGGTTGCAATACAAATAAATTTTAAAATATACTTAATTATTTTCTATGCTGCAAAAGCATTGATGGGATTATGGCTTTGACATTTAACTCAAGTTTGTAATTGCCATTATAGGATCTTGCTTCACATCACAAGCTGGCCTGTGGTCACATCACTTTCAAGGTGGTACTTTAGGGTTTCTCACTTAGCTAGATCATCTCTCTTCTTTGGTTACAAGCTAATGGTTTATTTCAAGAATATGGCAAGCCAGCTAATCACAGATTTACAAGAGAAGGCGATAACATTATTGGAAGAAAACCAGAGCCTTAGGAAATGGAAAGAGATCAGCAGAGAAAATACGAAGTCATTAAGGGAAAAAAAACAGGGATATGATCACAGCCTTCCAAGAGAAGAACACAGTTGCCTGAGAAAAGAATATGACTCTCTGGAAAAAAAACAAAAAAAACAGAACTCTTTGGAGCAATGTCAAGACCCTACTAATGGATGAAGTGGAGGTCTGGGGAGAGGATCTAGACCAATGGAAAACTGGGCTGGACCTTTGGAAGAAGGAACTGGACCTTTGGAAAGGAGAACAAGAATTCTTTGGAGAGTAAAAACATTCACAGAAGAAAAGACAGCCAGAAACCAAAGAAGAGGCACTCGCATGCTTAGAGTGACTTCCACCTTCTTAAGCTAATAAAGCTTTGACTGGTCCTCAGTCCTTTATTTCCAGATTTCCTCTGTTGACCTTTTTAAACCTTCGTTAATAGTCTGTTTTCTCCGATGTGACAGCACCATTTGACTGCCAGGTCCTAACTCACCAGCAGGTGGATAATGTTGCTAAATTTTACCTCCATCAAGGATAAGTATTAACCACCAAATCTCTATTTTTCCTAATAGAATGATACTGAAATTTTGTTAGTGTTAGTAATTCTCTTTCATTAAAAATTAGTGAAAATGGTGAATATACTTAGTCAATTGTCTTTGAGACTGAAAGAGAAAATCAACTCCAAAAATTTTTGGACTTATGATTGCTCTTGAGGAGGTTTGGGACACTATCCACCTCAAAAAGACATGAGACGCATATATACCACCTTGCTCAAAAATGTAGGTAAGGGATTAAATCTAGCAGACACTGAGAGACTGAAAAGGAAGAGGATATTGCTTAGAAATAATCATAGTTTCAGTTCCCTAATTCCCATAACAGCATTAATTCTCTAGAAGTGGTCAAAATACTCATTTATACATTATAAATCATTCCTATTCAAAGAAGTTACAGAAATCAGGTATATGAATCCACATTTCCACTATCTTCTACTGACAGTTCCTAGGTATGACAGAGTATTTAGGAGTGAGTGAAAAGGGGAGAGAAGAGGAAAGAGAGGGCAGTGGAGAAAGAAGGCAAGCCAGTCTGATAAACGTGGAAATGACAGGCAGAAAATGTTTCTGTGGTAAAGCTGAGCTGACTGCAGAGGGTGCTTTGACCTCTGCAGTGTCTGGATGCTCACAGCTTCATACAGCTGCATTGCATATTCCCTTGAAATCATATCTGTTCTTTCAAGAAAGGAATGCAGCTGTCTAATTCTCCCTTCCTCATACTCAAAATGAGATCAGATAATGAAGCACTAATACTGAAGTTCACAGAGTAATCATCGCAGATACACAACAGCCCATTTTTCTCTCATGTATATACTGTGTCTCTCTTTGGGATAATTCCATGAACTGTTGATTTCAGTGAGAAAGTAAACCATTGCTTTTTTAGTGTTTGTTCATTTGCATTAGCCCGAGGTGATGCAGATGTCAAGCATAATGACTTAATCTAAAAGATGCTCTGAAACCTCTGTGCTGATCAGCTGCCAAAGCAGCAACATTTATTAGGAGCAGCAGGTCTTTGATGGGCACAAAAATATTTTGCAGTAACTCACTGTAGAATATTTTAAAACCAACATCAGAATAATTAAATAATTTAGGTCAGGACCTTTGGAGGTCATCTGGCCCAATCCCAGGCTTGAAGCAGGGCCAACTTCAAAAGTAGATTTATACTTTTATTAGAGATATGGCACCTTAGGGAAGATATCAAAGAAGTACTAAGAAAATTCTCCAAGATCATCATACACAGTTCGTAAGTTTTTGATTATGCTGAAACAAGCCCCATGTGCATGCACTGAAAAAATATGAATACACAAGTTGATTTCCCTCACAGTCTTTCTCCCTGTTATTCAGGAAAATAAAAGGGAGTTACATTGACTTCAAGATCTCAATGGATTTCTTCAGGCTTCTGGGATAGGGACAGAGAAATAAGTTCCTGAAGGTTCACATAGAAAAAATGATGATGTTTGATTAAATGTTGGCGAGTTATAAGGGAGAAGGAAAACAGATTTAATGGGAGAAAAAGATTGTCCCAATTGCACAGAAGACTATGTACAATGGTATAAAAACTCATGTTCACTGGTAGCTGTTCTTTGGCATTATTCTTTAATAATAATCATGAAATACAAAGTACTTCACACAAAACAGTGTCTACTCAGAAGGGGGCTTGAACTCAAACCTCTGACTAGATATCCCTGTTATTCTGGTTTAAATTCCAGTTTTAACCCACTTCTCAATTCGTCTGATTAGCTTTGTCTCACTATGCATTTCTGGTTCAAAGTTTCTGAACAGTAGAATCAATTAATCTAGACATGAAGAAGATATAAAAATTATGCAGGAATACCCTAGAATGGGTCTATAGTGCATAACCACAGAAAATGTTAAGTCTTAAACTGCTTAAGACAGCTAGAACATAAAATACAGGGAATTATTTTATTGCAAGGAAAGAAACGGGCAGTTTTGTTCCTTTCTAGAGAAAAAAAAGCATTAAAAAATTCCTCATTTAGCACTGCAGACAATTGGAATGACAAAGGAAAACAAAAAGACAACAACCACAATAATGAAGAACAAGCAATGTAAGGAATTTTATAGTCAGACATGACGTAATCATGTAGTAAGAGCATGATTTTCCTTCTGTGTAACACAGCCCAAGGAATCTCTTTTGGTAAACTTCTTCAGCAAATAAGTAACTGGTGTTGAACCAGTCTCCCTTTAGAAAAAAATTCAGTCTTCAGCTGCTTTCAGTCATGAGGGACCACAGGTTTTGGTTAATATTGAATTAATTTAAGAGTCTACCTTTGATTTTCTGAAGGGGAAACTGTGTTAAATAAAGACCACAACTTCCAAACTCTGTCTTTAGGTTTGAATATTCCTATTTTTGATGTGTTTGCCTTCAGACATGTTGGATCCAGTCCTGAGAGTTGGTGAAGTTCAACAAATGATAAGTAAAACCCATATGGTGTGACCTCACAACTAGGAATGATTAGCAAGCTACTCTGCTTTCTAGAACTGGCTGTGATGGTTTCCCAGCTCCCCACCTGTAGGAAGCCAGCTCTGCTAACAATGACAGCAAAAGAGACTTCAGTGTGACAGAAAAGCAGCAAGTTAGTTACAGTATAGAAAATAATTACTCATCATTTACTACTGAAGATTTGATTTGTAGGTGAAAAGAGTAAGCAAATTAGTCTACCAGAAAAAAAAAAAAAAAAGGATCCAAAGTATCTAATATGTTTTAAAACCTAATTATTGAAATGTAGCATTATAAGGTACTGAGCGATACTGACTGCAGAAAGCAACCTGCTAACCATTTCGTCCATTCTGAGAAAGGTCTTTTGGAAAAAGGTCTCATGGCACGTTTTCTTAGGAAAGCGTACTCTGAAATACAGGTGGAATATCTATGTCTTTGTGGGCCAATCAGACTTTGATAGTGAATCTGCCTGGTGCTCACTCTCTCTTTCCAGAAGCAGAGTTCATGGATGTATGCGAGATGTGCACTATGTGTTAGCAGAGCCAGATGCTCCTCACAGTCAATATGTCATACCTTACTTATAGCAAGGAGTTGTTTTTTCTTATCTCTTGCAAACAATATAATATTACTGGATCTGTTAACTCCGCTTTCCAAACAACACAGTACAAAAGGAAATAGCTGAAGTGTAAATTACATGGGATTGCACCTCTGGACTGCCATTACACTACCATACTGTTATAACAAACAAAACTTGCCTTGTATATCCACAAACTCATGCACTCACATACGCTAACAGAAGTAGTCTATGGGGTAAGAATAAGGTCATTAGCGACAAGAGTTCAGTGTATTTCATGGACTCATTGATTCATAAACCTTACAAAATAAAATCTAAAGTAGAAAAGATACAAAATTGTTCCTGTAAGAATGATTAAAAAAATGACAAAGTGCATTTAAACACCTGTGCAAAGAATTTGTATCTTCTCAAAAGCACAGTTCATCGGACAAAGACTGCTCTTCCCTTGTATTACACTCAAGGTGCTATTACACTGGAAGTACAGGTGTAGAGGACAAGTATTTGTATTAGTTACAATTGCCTTTAAAATTAAGGCACACACTGGCCAGTGACCACTGAACAAATTTGCCGATGCAAACAGCAGCAGAGTTGTAAGCTATTTTGTAAAGAATTGGTGATAATACAATAATGTCAAAATGATTATGACTGGGGACTATGAATGCCACTCTGCAAGACAAGCTCCTTTTAAGTACGTCACATTCGATACTGAAAATAGAAGTACTCAAATCATTTGCCACTTCAGAAGATCATTCACCATTAATTTTTAATGACCTGACTCATATTGCATTTATGGAATGACCTGATAAGCTTTATCTGAGAATCTCTTAATGTAACATATCTTAATTGTAGTTCAAGAAGGAAATTAAAGCCTTCTGCAAGACATAAGAATTTCCATGAATAGATCAAAGCCTTTCAGGAAGAGACCAAAGCCAAAGCCTTACGGAAGGAAATAAAGATCTTCCAGGAAAAGAACAAAGCTTGCATGGAAGAGATAAATAATGTTTTAGAAGAGAGCCACAGCTTCCTACAGAAGACTGAAGACTTCCAGATTTTATTTAAAAAAAAAAAAAAAAAAGGTTTTCCAGGAATAAGTTGGAAGCATTCAGGAAAAGCTTGAAGAATTCTGGAAGAAAATGAAGGCTGCTAAGGAAGAGATCAAGGTTCTTCAAGAAAGCAGTAAGTCAGGGCTTTCTTAAACCAGAATCAAGCTATCCAAGAAAATAACAAAGCCATGTATGAGAAGAACAAAATCTTCCAGGGAAAGAATAAAGCTCTACAGGGAAAGAACAAGGGGTTTTGGAAGAAAGACATGATCTTCTGGGAGAAAGAGTTGGCCATGTCAAGCAGCAAACTGATTTCCTGGGAAGAATCTATAGATTTCAGGGAGAATGACTGGAATATTCAAAAGGAAAAAGGAGCTCTGTGGGATGCAGTGGAAGCCCTGTGGGATGAGAAATTTTCCCTCTTGAAAAATGTCTATATTCCCCCATCAGAGGAGAAGCTACCCTGCAACAGAAGAGAACAGTCTTTGGAGCAATTAGGGCCCAACTGTGGACACTAGAAATTAAACATTAAATCAAGCAGTTCTGAAGCACAACTTCACTTTCTACCAGAAGCTAAGTGCCAAAACACAGATAGGCTTTACTCCTTTTACCCTATAAGCTTGAAAAAGTTGTGACGGAGCTTAATTTTTTATTATTATTATTTCAGATTGTTTTACCTTTATTAATGTGTTTGCTCCTTTTTTCTTATTTGTTTCTTATTTCTCTTACCTTGATTTCCAGGCTCCAGCAGTCAAAATTATTAACTGCAGTTCTGTTCTCAAAATGCTCCATTGAGGTGTGCTTGTAACTTATGCAAAGACACACACTCCAGCTTTTCAGACTGAAATGTGCCTGGGGTTCACTGAGCCCACTCCAGATGGTTCCATTTCTTTTTAGAGTGTCGAGATGAAAACAATAGTCTGTTGTCTACTGTTATTTACAATTACATTTTCTTATCTGCATTTTTCCAGAGCTATCCTCTAACTTTAAAAACACTTACCTGAGAATTTCTGAAGTTCAGTTTTAAATTGAACAAAATCTCAATTTTCTTTAGAAAAATCAAGAACTTTCTATAGTTCAGCTCAATAATTTCAAGGCATATGTATTAGCTGTACTTTCTACTCTATCACTTGCTTAAATCTATTATTCAGGAGAGCAAAGTAATGCAACAGCCTCGCCATCTGTCTTTCCAAAGCCAAAGGAGTATATTATATGTAGAGACAGTATATAAATATAGGTAGGCTCAACAGGTGCATGAGGTTGGCAATGCATTAGCTGGATTTAATTATACCTCTTTATTTTTGCTATATAAAAAGCAACGATAACAAGATAGCTGATTCAACAGCTTCAGTAGTAAATCAATAAAGCAATCAGTTCACAAAGCCAAATTCTCCTCTTCTGTAGTGCGGAAAAAAAACCCAAAACATGAGACAGAAGTAAATTAATTTTGATTCATGAGTTTTCTGTTAACACGAAAAAGGAGTTAATTCATAAGCATGATCACTTATACATGTCATGTCCCTTCCACATTACAATTCTTCAGCCATTGCTTATCTGTGACACTTAGTCAAACAAATGCAAGTTCCTGAAGTCATTCTGAAATATGGCCATCTTGTAATCAAAGCAAAATTTCAGTGGAGGCCAGCCAATATAAGAAATTGAATTGTTGTTCACTCAACAATGTGAGTTTTCAAAATAAGTCTAGAAGTGACTTATCTCAGGGAGAGAATCATTACTGGAGAAACTGCCTGTTTCACATATTCCTTGATCAGGAGGACAGCATTAACATGATTTAAAAAAAAAAAAAAAATCTTTCCCTCAGATATATTTAGTGGAGAACTTCTCATAGTAGTTGCAACGTCTACTCTGGCTGTACTCCTTAGTAAGGACATGGCTACAACTTTCAGCTTAAGACTGTAGCTTTTTCAGAATGTCAACCAAAACCAAGCAAATAATTGTTCTCTCTTCAGAATCTAAATTATTTACTACATAGACAAGAAGAGTAAAGCCCAAAGGACTGTAATAGTGGTGGGTGTTTCTTAATGATGATCAAGAACAAGGAGAGCAGATGTGATGTCTGACTGAAGAAGATGGTTTGATATAGGGAGCTAAAAGTAACTAGGAGAAGTTAGAAACAAGACCAGATGTAAACAAAGCTGCAGAAAGTGCCCTGTAGGACAATAATGTACAAAAAAGGATGTGACTTCTGATTTGATAGACAGTCAGGAAGGAAAACAGTTTTAATTTTTAGACATGTTGCCAGTCCAGCTGAGAACTGTGAACTCATCTGTGTGGGAGAGGAAGCTGAGAGAGCAGCTAGGGGATGGGTGGGATCACTTCTTTGCTTGGGGAACTGCCTTCTGGATATTCCAGGCTGACACATTTTGTTGTGATGTTTCCTGTCAATCTTCATCACTTGTATCATGTTACATGGTCTCTTGGACTATAATTAGGATTGACAGAGGAAAACAGACCAGCTGAGACTTAACATGATGTGGCAGTTAATAGATATGCATATTTGTCAATAGTTTTGTTAAATAAACATCACTAGCAATAGACTACGGAAAGGACAAAGGTAAAATGTAAGAAGTTCTCTCCCATGTAGAGAAATAGGATAAGTAACTCAAGTGGTTGGAACCCTCTTGAGAGTCTCCATGTTTTCATACACAAGAGGAGCAGGTACTGCTGATTGGATGCAGGGCACAAGTTCTTAATTGTACTCTATAGACTTAATTCATTGTCTTCCATTGACTTCCATTCTTCCAATGGAAGAGGCAAAAGCAAGTTGGAGTGTCTCATTCCCTTCACTCTCACAAACCGGTGTCCCTGATATGCAGCACCAGAGAAGCCATCAGCTATATGCAGGTACATCCCTTCAGCACTCATGGTTCTCTTTCCAGGAGATAGAGGAATCTCTCCTGGCCATGACTCACTGTGCATCAGCAACTGCCCAGCCAGCTTCAGCTAACTCCCACTAAGAGGATCATCTGCCTCGGGCTACACTCCAGAGTGAGCAGCACTACACAGATGCAGCCGTACTGCCTGCGCTGGTGTGCCTGTCCGTGCAAGTGTCATGCTGCTCAGCCCAGGTCACTGCTCCCACCCCAGTGTAAGCTGCAATTGGTCCCAAAAAGCCCCTTCAGTGGGGTAGTGGGGTCAAGAGCGTTGGGCTGATATACATTCCAACAGGGCTGGGGACTCAGCATCAAGGTAGATAGAAACAGGTCTTAAAACACAGACCAGTAGATGCATTCTTGCTATAAGTAGGACAAGGAAAAATTCCCAGTAACACCATTGTTTAGCTCAGAAGTTCAGAGACAATGGTCCACAGAAAGCTCAGCTGCAGTAGATTGACTCAGCTCCATAAGCCTTAACAGCAGATTGCTAATTTACTCAGTCCCAGAGGAAATCTTACTCCATAGCAGTCAAGGAAACCAATGATGAAAACTCAGCTTTTCTAAATCTGCTCAGTAATACTCCTCACTTAAGTAGGACACTAATTAAATCTGGCATGTTACCTATTAGATGTATCTTAGACATTCAAATTCTCTCTCATCAGACAGGCATACTAACCACTGAGATGGCCCTGCAGTGAACTGTACATCAGAAAGATACAGAGACATAATTTTTTAAAGTTCTTCCTTATTCTTTTTAGGAACCAATTATGTAGACATAAAAAAGCTAAGGTATCTTTTCCAGTGAAACTGTTCTACTAGAAAAATAGCTTTTTTATTAGTTTAATGGATTCTTTCTTTAATCTCTCTCAACTCTTGACCTCCGTTCAGATTTACATGTTCTTAAACTGGTGCACAGAGCAGCTGGATGCAGTAGGTAGTGGGGGGTTAATGGGGAATCCTAAAAGGTTGTGTTTAGGTTGCAGTATGCAGATAGTGCAATTAGGAGGAAAAAAAACCCCAAACCACATCAACTTGTTTCCTTGAAACTTACCTAGAACTAGACAGATAGAGTCGAAGAACATGTTACGTTAGGTTTTATCATTATGCCATCATCATGCTGTTTTTAATGACAAACAGTACTGGGCAAATCCTGTAAGAAGCCGAGATGCTCCTAGAAGACGCTAAACATTCCCAGCTCTAATGACAACGGGAGCTCTCTGAAAATGATGTTTGGTCCTGTAAGCTATAAAAGCCAGAATCTCAAGTGACTTTTATACAATAACAATGTCACTTTTATACAGCTTAATCTCTGCTATATAATTAAACTGGTACATAAGTTGTAAAATAATTAAAAATGAGCCACAGTGAAGTCTGCTATAAACATTTGTACTTCAGTGCTAATTGCTTCCATTATAAATGCTGCACACGAGATTCTCCTCTGTGTAACTCCAGTGAATACATATAGTTGCACTAGGGATAAATTATACTTAACTACCTTTGCCTTGTCAAACAAAACTTTGTTGCTGTGGAGTGATTAAAGATGGTCTAATCTCCATCATTGCTGTCTTGTGGCAAAAAGGAACAGAACCAATGTAGTACAGGTGCGGATGTGATTACACCAACACTGCAAAACTCTTGTGCAGATATTGTTCCACCCTGGTAATAGGTACAAACTTCACAGAACTGATCTACTCCTGGACAAAACCTATCCAGGAGTGGGAATCTGACACACAGCAGAGCTTATTTTAGAGGCTGTTTATCTGACACACAGTAGAGCTGTTTAAAATTTGTTATGGAGTTGTATAAAGAAGCATTGTGCCCTAACGCACACTGTGCTATACTTACAGATGCTCTCTATGTTATTTATCATAAAGTTAGGCCATAAACAGTTTCCTTTGGTTATTTTCTGTTCTTTCACATTGTGCTTTAATGAGCAGCTCCGCACGGGATCCGTGCTGTACACTGAACAAATCTTAAAGCCTTCTGGCTTCATTATTCTCCTTTCTCTGATCTCCATTTCTAGGATTTCCTTATTACTTGACATACTCCCTTTGGCTTCTAAACGCTTTCTTTTCTCTACCTCACCATCCCCTTTCTGTTGCTCCTTCTTCCCAGATTTTTTTGCCTGTCTATTCCTTTACAGCTTTTCCTCTTGTGCCCTTGAGCTTCACATCACCCTGTGCAGATTCAGAGCTTGCCCTGCTCTCACTGTCCCTCTGACATCCTGCACCTGACAGGACTGAACTGCTCCTCAGCCGGGAGCCAGGCTTTACCCTTGCCAGCTCCACGATGCTTTTGCAGGAGGTTTCCCTCTTGCAGCTACTGCCAAATCTGGCAAAGAGGCAGCTCCATCCAGCTGTCCTGGGACAAAGGCAGCTGAAGTTTGCCAAGATGCATGATCTGACTTAGCATTACCTTGAATTTTTAAACTAGGCAAAACATTGCAGTAGAAGCAACTCCTCTTCTGACACCGCTCTGATATTTCCTTATCCGCAATTCCTTTCCTCTGGTAGTTCCTTAATGGCAGTTTGGTTGTGTCACTATGTGAAATAAAACTCTTTAATAAAGAAAAGATCTAAAACTACAAGCAAAAAACTGAAGAAATCTCACAGATAAGGAGATTTTATT